ACATATATTCAAACAGTCAAATATTTATAATCCTCTTTTACTATTTATCAAACTAAGATAGTATTATTTTTAAATAGATAAATCTTTTGAAATGTGGCTAAATCTAATTAAAAATATATTTTATACTTGTTTAAATCTAACCGATTGACTCAAACATTCTTCAGAAGATTAATTACCTTGTATAAAAATCCAAATTTTCAAAATAAATTATTTTTACCATTTTAGTAATTATTAAACGTAAAAAAATTAAGCAAAAAGTAAAAAAATAAATTATTACACCTCATATCAATGTTGTCAACAACAAACAAAAAATCGAGTTCGAATGAATCATATTAAAATCAAAAAAACTAGTATATATTGTCGTATTCTATTTCACATATCAAAAAATATAATAATCTATCTTTTCTGATGAAAAACCAAAAAAATAATTTTTATGAAAAATATTATTGAGATTTTAAATTAAATAGAATAGAGAGAGCATAAAAGTATATAAATAAATGTGAAAATTTGGATATTTAAATTTAAATCTATTCAAACTAAAAAAAAATTACATATATATTATAATATCCCAATAAGAAAAGGTATTTAATCTATTGTTTTATCTATTTCTATTTAAAATTAAAATATCTAATTGATAAATACAAATACATAAGTTTTTATTTAAAAAGTTTGTTGACATGTGGAAATATTTAATTGGATTTTTTTAACACGTGTCAAAATCTAATCGATTAGATGATACATATCACGATATTGTTAATAATCACGTTTGATGTATCAATCACTACAAGAAAACTGTAAATTAGCGTCGAAATTTAGCGTCGGAATTTTTTCGACGCTAATATAGCGTCGAAATTGTGTCAGTCTACATATTCGACGCTAATTCGACGCTAATTAGGATCGAATTAATTCGACGCTAAATCGACGCTAATTAGCATCGAATTAGCGTCGAAATTCCTGAATTCCTGAATATCTGTTGCATCGATTTAGCGTCGATTACGTAGCATCGAATATAGCTCGAATTTTCCTCAAATTGTTAGGTAGGAGACTCATTAAAAACGAGTTTACCTACCTGGGTGCAAAATCGACGCTAATTCGATGCAAAATCGACACTAAGGTATTCGACGCTAAATCGATGCTAAATATTCGATGCAAAATCGTTGCTAAATCGCTGCTAAATTCTCCTATATATCTCAACCCCCCGCAT